GCCAACCTTTTGGTTACCAAAAAACCAAACTCACTGCCGTTGAGTCGATTGCAACTCAGAGCAACCCCTCCTTGGGTTGCCGAGGCAGTATCACTAAGATTCCATTTGAAATTTGAAAATGTTTTTAAAATTGTGAAACCCAAAGCTAGGATTTCACTAGATTGCCTAACCTTCCTTCCAAGGAGTGGCTGGTGGGTTTGAATGGCCAGCCTTCTGGTTAGCAGTCAAGTGTGTACACCACCAGAACTCCTTGTTGTTGTTGTTATGTGCCGTCAAGTCAGTCCTGACTCATATCGACCCCTCCTTGGGTTTCCGAAGCAGTGTCACTACGGATAGTTGAGAGCAAATTAAGCCATCTAGCCACTCCTCGGAAGGAAGGTTGGGCAATCTACTTCCATAGTGATACTGCCTCGGCAACCCAAGGAGGGGTCGCTATGAGTCGGGGCCGACTCAACAGCACATAACAACAACAACAACAGAGACCTTAAAATTCTTAGAAAGTTCTTTCAAATGCTGACACCAACCTGGACCCTATACCCCTTTTTGTGGTTCACAGAACACACTCATTTCTCCAGACATTTTGCACCTGTGCATTTATCAGGGTCCTGTTCTAGAGATTTGTGTCATGTAAGAGACAGAGAATAATCACTGCTATGATGGGGAGCCCACAGAGCCCTGGGATCCCAGAAGAGGCTACTGACCCAGCCGAGAGAGGGAATCAGTCTGGTGGACTTCCTGTAGGAAGGGACATCCACTGAGTGCCAAACGTGAGTGAGTTTTGGCTGGGGAAGAGAGGAGGAAGGAATGTTTCAGGCAAAAGGAACAGCATGTGGAGGTGAGAGGGCACCATTTTGGGGACCAAAAGAGGTGTTGAGTGACTGGAGGGTTGTGTTTGAGGAGGGCTGCTGAGGGCAGGAAAGTCATCATGAGAAGACCAACACAGGGTCCTAGGTGGGAGGCCAGTGACACCCTGTTTCTTGTGCCCTCATTGTTTTGCCAGGAAGTAATTTACACCCCACCTTCCGGTTACTTGACTACATCCTTCCTAGCTTTGGGTTTCACAATTTTAAAAACATTTTCAAATTTCAAATGGAAAAAATGATTCCTCATTGTGGAAATTAAAACAAGTCAACATTTCTCTTTTAAGTGTGAGGTTGAACACTTTTTCAGATGTGCACAGGCCCCACAAGGGCCCCCTCTTGCCTGTGGAGTACTCCGAGGTCTCCCCTAACTAG